TGGCTCGAAGCTGCTAGAACGGTTGAGACCCGGCGACAGCAGCAGCAGCAGCAGCAGCAGCGGGGGCTAACGGAACCGATGGCAGCGGCAACGGAAGGGGAGGAGGCTGTCATACCGTCACCAGCACCACTGCTGACCAGCATGCAAGCGATGGGTATGATTGCTGGGCGAATTGGGTGGCATATACCTGGGATGGCGGAAGCCACCCCGCTGGCACGCCTTACGGTTCGCCTGGCGACACAGCTGCAATGTGGGCCTATAGAGGAGAGGAGAAGACGCCTGGTAGCTGAATTTGTGCGGGAGGCGACGGATCCTCAGGGCCCGTCGCCGCCGCCCCCCTCGGAAATCAGCCTATTCAGGGCGACGCAGGCCCGCGTTTGGTCCGGGGTACGATGGGAGAATGAGAATAAGGAGACGTTATGGCGGCTTGCAGTGGATGGCGTCGCCCTACCGGGCAACACGCACCTAGCCCGCATGACTCCAGAACGCTGTGGAGCGCTGTGGAACGCTGTGGCGGATTCGGTGGAGCAGCTGGTCAGCCATGCTCGCCATGCATGCATCACTTTTGGGAATGCCCGGTGGCGCAGGCGGTGCGGGCACAGATCGACCGGCATCTACAGTCTTCCCAGGAAGCGGCGGTAGGTGGAGTCACCCGAAAGCAGCTCTGGCTATTACTGGCCCCAACCGGATGCGAACAGGCCGTATGGGATATAATCGCCCTGTCGGCCCTGTCTGCCATGGAGGTTGGCAGATGCTGCCTGAGAGCAGCAGGCAGGAGGCAGGAACGAGCTGGGAGCCAAGGACCACAGAACCGGGAGCACGCGCAGCAGGTGCAGGTACCCGGCCCCAGACAGAGGCGGATAACGGACTTTTTCATCCAGGCCGACGGGGCGGGACCGCAGACGGGGCCTGCACTGAATGCGCCGGGGGATGAGGACGAAACGCAGGAGCGGAACACGGCGACAGGGGCGGTAGCAGCAACGGCAGGCGCGGTGGCAGCAGCACCCGCAGCAACCCCCTTGGAGCGGGCCTGCGCCCGGGCAGTGGTGGACTTCTGGGCGCGTCTGCGCTCCTTCACGGCGCTGGGCACCCCGCGGAGAGGCTGGGACAGGGTGGGACCCGACCACCCGATCCTGTCGGTTTCAGAAGGCGCACTGCGGTGCGCCGAAGCGGTGGAAATTATTGCCTAAGAGCGCTTTGAGCTTAGTTTATAGGGCAGGGCTCGGGGGGGTATAGGAGTTCGAAGGGGATGGGGGTTGGAGGACAAGGGAATAGGTGAGAGGGAACCCCGAGACGGGAGAGGGAGAGGAGAAGGACGGGGAATGGAGGCGGTCACGTCGTGCAGGGAAGAACCCTTTTTCTTCCCTAGTGCCACTCCGAGGTTGTAGGGTGCTGGAGAGCCGGGGGGAGGTGGGGTCGCTCGGACAGGGGAGGGGGGAGATGGCGGTGAGAGCGCCAAAAGGACGTAGGTTTTCTGGTGTTTGGGAGGTTGAGGTCTGGTGGTGGTAGCGGGGCTCGGATGAGGGGGAGGTGTGGCCCGAGGAGGGCCATTCTATTTAGACACGTCTTCTCTGTGGGACTGGGTTGCTTGGTGAGGGACGAAGGTGAGAGCGGTGCAGTACGAGACAGGGTGAATAGGTTTCTGGAGAACCAACCGTTCAGGTTAGTGGCGGTAAGGGGGAGGCGCCGGGCGGGCTACAATCCTCCCCCTGCGGTTTTCTGGAGGGTCTAGGAGCTGTGTGTCGTGGCAACGCTAACGCTTTGGTCGTTTCGCCGGACTATCCTGGGCCCCTGCAGTGGTGATCAGGCTTGTGCGGGATCCCTTTTCTTTATAAGGCTACTTCTCCCCTGGACCAGCCCAGGAAGGGACAGGTGGTGGAGGTCAGTTGTTTTAAGGTGGCTGCAAGACGTCTTGTGGTGTCGAGCTCTCTTAGCCTTTCTCTCTTGGAGGTTTTTTGTTGGCCTGTTAGGTATATCAGGAGCCCTCCCCTGCCGGGACTGCCCTAACCCGACTTTTAGTTGTTTGTTTGTTTTCCCTTCGAATCCCGTTTTCGTTGGTGGTGTTTTGGGGGGTTGTTTCAGAGAGCCTTTGACTTTGCCCTAGCTGAGACTTGTGGACTCGCCCTAGCGGGACCTGAGAACCCTTCGTGGTGTATTCAATGCAGCGCCATCCCCGGATGGAGGGGCTGCGGAGTGGCTGCGTAGAGTGTTGGCAGTCTGAGTCGGGGTCGGGAGCACACAAGACTAACCGACTTGTGCTGTGTGCTCCCGACCCTTGCGCTGTGTTTCGGCTTCGGCCCCCGGCTCTCG